CCAACAAATTATGCTTTCAAAGACATATCTCTGTATCATTTATTTATTCCTTAAAATTCTTAGCAAACGAATAAATTATTTGACAACGATGCTCCTGATTCTAGAAGTACTTTGGCAGCTGTCAAAATAATATCCGCCAGTAATATTGGTGTGGAGCAACAAAATAGAATTTTCTGTGGTAATAGCTTTAGGGAAAATTGTCCAAAAACGTCATAAATCTATTGTACGGTGGTCAATTTTTTTATAAACTTTTCAATTGCGTCAATTTAACCCCCAAACTTTTCAATGATTTTCAGATGTAGTCATTCTAGCCAAATTTGACTGAAAATCGATAATGTGGACACTGATCGTGTACATTAAGTGTAGTGTAGCACTTAATCTTAATAGGCGCACTACCAGATCACTCAAAACATTCTAGATTATAGATGGCACCATCTTCCACATACTCAAATGAATCATCCTAAGTTGCAAACTTACGCGTATATTAAGCATAGTGCAACACTTTTTTGCATGCAATTTGACCAAACAATGAGAAACACGACATGTATACATAATCAAAGAAAGCATGATTTCTGTACACATGGAAAATGATGGGTTTGAGAGGTACTCCCGACTAATATGCCGAGAACTGGGGAAGGCAGGATCGTGATTATGCAAATCCCACATAAAATTATAGTATGAAAATGATGTAAAACATGCAGATAAACATGGACTCACCAGGAGCGCTCCTAAAGGATGAGTTTAGTGTTACAGTGGAGTTGTTTAATCATCACTGAAGTTGCCATCGTTGTCTTCTTGATGCTGACAAATTACACGTGAAGAATGCCATTCCCGTGGAGGAGCTTTTTCCGTAATGAAAAACGAAAAATCGAATACAGCTTTCATCTCATTATTCTTCATGTTTGCTATATTATAAAAAAAATCCTCAAAATAGTCTCGATTAGTTCTGCTTTATAATATTGCGTCGGTAGACAAATGGGTAGATTCATAATCCTATTATGGCGCTCGCGTGCTTCGATTTTAGTCTTTTGTATTGTTTTTTTTTTAACATACTTGCCAAATAAAGTTAAAAACTCAAATATTCTCTCTTTCCGCTCATACATGTACTACAACTTCTTCATATTTCTTTAGGGAAAAGTGTTGGAAAAGTCCTAAGCCTATTACATTGGTGTCAAATCAGTCATAAACATTTTAATTATGTTGATATAGTCATAAACCTTTTGACATAGTGACAATTCAGTTCTTCCGGCTAATTTTGATCGGATATTACTGACGTGGACGCTAGTCGGTTTACGTGGTAGGAATGAGCGTGGTTCCACGATAGAACCTGGAATTTGAGAACCGGACTGGTGGAAACCTATGCGGTTCCAAGTTCAAAAGTAGATTCTAGGTTCTAAAAATTAAGGAACTTGTTTCGATGGGTAGGTTCTAGGTTCTAGGCAGGTAGAACCTGGAACAATTTTTTGGGTTTTTCTTTGTTTATGGTTTCGTACAATCCTATGGTATTTCATGGTGTCTAATGATGTGTGTATAATCTGGAACTATTAATCTGAGCTTGCATTTTATGATTGAGACTTTCACTCCATTAATGTTTCATATTTTTTGTATGTCTAGATATAAGTTGTAGTCAATTGATTGTAGTAGCAAGTGGTGATTATTAAATGTAATGATTCACTGTAATCGTTCAATTAATAATACATGTGGAATCTGAGTAGACCCTGAAACCGACCCTAAAACCTATGACATGATGGGTTCCAAGGTATGCAGGGTTTCCAAGTTCCAAAAAATGAGGAACATGTTCCAAGGGTAAGTTCCACATGGAACCTATACGGCACAGGTGAAGCCTATATGGAACCTAAAACCACTCACCTCTACTATGTGACATCGCCAGCGCTAACATAGACAATTTTTAATAATATTTTAATAATTTTTTGATTTTTCAATTATTATTTATGTTTTTTTTTCTTTTCTTCCTCCTTTTATAGGTGATTAGCCATAGACGATGGTTGGGCAAGTTCGCCTCGCTAGGCGAGGGTCACCGTCGCTCACCATAGGCGAGGCCCGGCTAGGCTAAGGCGAGCCACGGCTGGGCTAGGGCGAGCCACGGCTAGGCGAGGGCAACACCGACAAGGGATCCCCTCGCCAAATCTAGCGAGGTCGGCCGTCATCCAGGCCAGGGCTACATGGCACACCGCTACGCCAGCGATTTCCATCGAAAATTGGTCGAAAAAGCTACATTGGAATCTTGTGCAAAATATATGACTAAATTGACAAAATTAAAGAAATTTAGGACTGACTTGATATCCGTGTAATAAATTTAGGACTATTTAGAAAATTTTCCCGAATATTTTTGCGCAATCAAATCTCATGTCCTTTTCAAACCTTTCGGGCGAATTGTTGCTGAATGAACACACGTGTTGGGCGGGTTCAACAGTTGATTTCCCGCGTCGCATTAAAGAAATATTAAGGAATGCCATTAAGTATGTAATTAAGATCACGCAAGATTCCATTAGTGCCAGCCAACCCCTCCTATTTCCAAAACCGACGAGCCGTTTTGGCTCGCACGCGTACGTGGCCCTTGCGATGGTCCGAAAACTCGTGTCCTCGATCATTATTTTACTATATTTTCGACAGGAATTTGATTGGTCACCTTCCCCCACTTTTTCTCTTATTTCTTGTAAGGTCGGACATGCTAGCTTTCATGCGTGGCGGGGAAGAAACAAATTTTGAAGATGACTCATCATTGACAATGCTAATTCATGATGACAATGACTTGTTTGTCTAGGGTTTGACATTGTTCGAAATTAAAAAGGTCACGATTATAAGAAACTTTTAGATGCTCTCCAAGGATCCCGTCATCGATCCACTTTTATAAATAATTATAAGAGATTTTGCTTCATAATTGGTTGGACTGGACTATGTTCGACTCAAGGTTTCCTATGTAATCATATTACTGTTCTATCACATATCTATAGATGTAGATCTATATTTCTGATAATATGTTTATGTTGGTTATGTTTGAGGTTACATCTAGGAGGGCGGTCGTGTCATTTCCCCTATTCTCATAGAATTAGGGGGTGTGACACTCAGTGTTGAAGTTTTAATGTTTCCTTTTTGTGTTGAATGGTGCTGGGAATATGTGCTTTGAATGGTGAATATATTGAATTTTAGAGTTTGTCATGTTACATTTGCCGCATCATATCATGTGCACTAGCAAATAGATGCTGAGATTGGTCATTTGCTCTGAACAATCCGTTTTTGTTAAATCTATACGATCATACGAATGGGTAATCCTTTTGTTAAATCCGTAGCATGAATATGTTACTTGAGCTATGTATGATATGCCAATGGTGCTAATACGATTAAACGCCAAAAAATGAGACACAAAACTCTCGAACTTTGTCATTCACTCCAAGGCCAAGCACAAACAAAAAAAAAACATTGTTAAGACCAAAATAGAATCAAAATACATCATTTAAATCATTATGGTAGCTAATTCAATTTTAAACATTTCAATTGTGTCAATTTAGTCCTAAATATTTTTTTGTGCCAATTTTGTCCTAAACCTTTTGAAGATTTACCAATTTAGTCCTAAACCTATTATTTGGATATTTGGTTGGAAGGATTATACTGGTAAATCGTCAAAAGATTTAGGACTAAATTATCACAATTAAAAAATTTATGACTAAATTGACCACCGTACAATAAATTTAGTACTTTTCGAATAATTTTTCCCTTTCTGCATGGTAACGTTGGTCTTGCCTGACTTCTATCCATCATCACTAATCCCACCAAGAAGAAAAATGACTTGACAGACAACACCACTATCTCCAAACAATCATTCTCGTCGATGTAAAGCAAGCAATGTTGTCTTTTCCTATCCCAAATAGAACGGCAGCAATGGACAAATTAGTCCCATCGGTGCAATTATGGATCTTAAATAGATCTTCTCCTTTGCTTCCAGCTTCGGCACTTTCCACTGATAACTTTTTGTTCAGACGGTTCAAGTTGTGTCCAAATCACGCCCAATCCTTTTTAGCTGCATTTCGAGAGTGTCGATTTTTTTTTCATTCCTATGCTTTAAATTGGGTTCCCATCCTTTCCATGCTCTTTCTCCAAGACTGCCTTCTCATTGATCAATTGACAAATCATATTTCTCATGCAATGATAGTTTTGGAGAAATAATTACGAAACAAAACCTAAAACTTATTGTATGGATACCAATTTAGTCATAAACTTTTTAATTTGATCAATTTTAGTCATAAGGGGCCCACCTCACCTCTTCCCTTCCCCCCGTATGGTGCGTTCTGCTTCTTATCTAGAGAGGGGCAGAGACTTAACCTTTCGATGATTTGTCAATATAATCCTTCCGATCAATTTTGGCCGACAATCACTGATATGAGCGTCGGCCATCTTTCTTGGCACGATCGGCGGTGACGTGGATAATTTTTGCAATATGTTAAAAATATTTCTGAATGTATTTTATTTCATTTTATTTATTTTTTATTTTCTTTTTCATCTGAGCAACATTCAAGATAATTTTAAGGAATCACGATCGCTTTTGTTGTGAAAAAGGCTTCTCAAAGTTTAAGGGCAAATCAACAAGTTAATATCAGTGGGAGGAACTTCAATAATGTAGAGCATAGAGAAAATCAGCAACTCGAAATTAACTATAGGAATTACAAATCCATAATAAAAAATGCCCAGACTTATCAATCCTTAATCTATTGCAAAAAATCAACAACCCCTCACCTCCCATAAAGGGACAGCGGTAGAACTAAAAAAATATTTTCGGGTCACCGGTACAAGTTTGGGTAAAAAGGGAAAAAAAAACTTTGGAGTATTGACGTCCCTCACGGGAAAAAGTTTAGGGTTTTTAGCGGGATTATCGTTCGACGACACGAATGGACTTATTTTTTAAGGGTTGAAACCAAAAAAAAATGGGGGTGACCCTGTGCCCACGTTTTCTTTTTAGGCTGAAAAGGGCCAGAAGGTCAAACCGTGTCCCTCCCAGCTGCGCTTTCCCTCGCGTGTCGTTTTCTTTCTTACACGATGTAGCTTCTCGTTTCATTCTCGTAATGCATAATTTATACCCAAAACTATAGTTTAATTTCAAAACCCCACCTCATAGAAGTTTCCATATACAGCAGCATCTGCTAGATTTAGCCACGATCTGTGTCTGCTTCGTCCTCTATAAAGGCCACCCCTCCTCCTCCATTTCTCTGCACATCCAATTCACACATCCACAACAAAGAAAGGCACATACAGACACACACAGACACACCTGCTCTCTGTCTCTCTCAGGCACTCTCGGACAGGTTTCTTGGCTCGAAAATGAAGGCAACATCAGAGGCAAGGTACGCCCTCCTGCTCGCCGCAAGGGACTCGGACTACGTGACGAAAGTCTACGGCGGGTACTTCAACGTGTTCGTCGCGGCCTTCGGGGAGGAAGGCGAGAGGTGGGACCTCTACAGGGTCGTGGATGGGGAGTTCCCGGACACGGACGAGCTCCACAAGTACGATGGCTTTGTCGTCAGCGGGAGCCCTTACGACGCCTACGGCAACGACTATTGGATCCTCAAGCTCTGCCTCCTCTTGCAGACTCTCGGTGCCATGGACAAGAAGATCCTGGGGGTTTGCTTCGGCCACCAGGTAGATACATGTGATGAATATTGAACGAGAACCCGTTAATCCCAATAGAATCTTGATTGTATTGAAGTCGAATATTCATGTGTAATCACCTGTTTAGTTGCTGAGTTGGGCTTTCCTTGAAATGTGTTTTTGTTGCAGGTGTTGTGCAGAGCGTTGGGGGGCAAAGTTGGGAAAGCATACACAGGGTGGGACATTGGGCTGAGGAAGGTGAGGATTGTGAAGGATTTATTCCCATGCGGGTATTTGAATGAGATGGACGATATCCCACCAGCTCTGTCCATTATTGAGTGCCATCAAGATGAGGTCTGGGAGGTCCCGACTGGTGCTGAAGTCATTGCATTCTCCGAGAAAACTGGGGTTGAGATGTTCGCGGTCGGCGATCGCATTCTCGGCATTCAGGGCCACCCTGAGTACACCAAAGACATTCTCTTCAATCTCATCGACCGCCTTCTTAACAACGACTGCATCGAGGTAATTGATCAGTTGCTTCCCTATCGAATACCCTCTTTCTTCATTTCGATGCATCAGCGACAATTTCCATGCTTTGCTCACTGGTCTGGTGTTGCCGTGGCTTTTGCAGAAAGGTTTCGCTGAAGATGCCAAGTTCGCATTAGAGATGGCCGAGCCGGATCGGAAATGCTGGGAAAGGATCTGCAGAAACTTTCTCAAGGGAAGCTAGAAGGATTGCTCCCAGTTCTATTTTTTCCTTTTGGTTGAATTTTCGTTTCCTTTTATGACTCCATTACGGACCAAACGTGGTTGGAAGAAACATTGTACGAGCCTCAGTTCGTATAGTAAATATACATACATATGCTAACGACTAGCTTTTACATACTTGCCCGAACAAATGTCAGCTATCGACACAACTTGACGGTTGTGTCTTACATTTGGATGTTCAGCCCAAAAAGTATATCCCCACGGCTACAGTCGGCTGTCTATTCAAAATCTAAAGTAGGTCGACTTCCTAAGCTCCTCTGTTCTTTTTTTTTAAAGAAAATAAAGATGTAAACTTCGCCCACACTGACCAATGAACATGACGAAATCTTGATGACCGTATAATGGAAGTGATTCGGGTATATCATCCTTTTTAGCAACCCACGTGATTCGTGCATTTATCTAATATGTTTTCCGTTGTCCAACCATGCTATTCTGATTCTTAGATGATATAAGCAAATTCTTTATGCCTTCATGTGGGCGTAAGGATATGAATATATTATGTCTAAAAAAAGCTAACCCTGGAATCCTATTCCTAAGAATAAGTGAACAAGAAGTTGATAAAAGAGTGTAGTTTGGAAAGCATGGCTATTGTGCCTTCTACATTACTTTTTTCTTTTGAAGCTTTTACATGCTAATACGAAAGATGTTAACCACCACAGGCTTCAGAATAAATTGGGTAATATCACAAGATCATGCTGCTCAAGATCGAGTAATTTGAAAGAGTAAATCCAGTTACATGTCCAAAACACAATCTACAGATTTCACAACCTATATTTATCATACAATATGAAAAATGATTTACCATCGTCTATGCAGCTAAGGGTTTGTCTTGTCTGTCTTGTGAGCTATGAGGAGCCAGACGAGAGTGATCAACTCTCCACCTTGCCGAAGTTGGTCCGCGTGGTGTGACAATCGACAGTTCGTGACAGTGGAAAAGAGCATCTCCATCCAGAAACTGTATATTACCTCCCATTCTTCTGTCATTTGCATCAACAGCTTGGCAAGTCTTTGTGAATCGGGTATCACGTCCCATTTTGATGTCACTGCCTCATCGGAGGGTGTCGAACTTGATGAAGCAGGATGTTCAGTAGTAAAAAATGCTCCAGGCTAATTGCTTCTGCGTCTGTTGAAGCATCACTTTTCAGGATTGACTTGATCTTAGAGCAAGCATGTGCAAAGACGATGTTTCCCGTGATGACCGATAACATGTAAGGATGAATAGATAGGAGGTACACCGTGTAATCCGAAATCAATTTGCTTCCACGGAGAAAACCAGATGAGTCTTGGCTGCAATGGTAGCATAAGTTTGTTGCAATGTGCCATACCACAATGCACTTACCAAACCCCATATCCACACTCCATCCGAGTTGACGAGTTTGATTAAATCTTTGGAAAGTCCACTCTGCTATTTGGCTAGACAGATGAGAGCCTCTTATTTCCTCAAAACTTCGCAATCCTCGCAGCAATTTCTCCTTCTCATCTGGAGGGAAGCAAAGGGGCCCCATTCTATTAAGACTCCAATTCCTTTTGATGTACTCTTGAATGCCGAAACACTTCAAGAATTTGATGTACCTTGTCCAATCATGTCGAAGACAGTAGCTAAGCAGATTGAACTGATCCAGCTTGTCCGACCAACGTGTCCACCTATCCACAGATATAGGTGCTAGGCTTCTTAAGAAAGGCAGCACAAGCGGCCATTTATGACGTTTCGCCATCTTTACAATTTCCCAATCTGAATAGGGTAATAGTAGGATCTGATACATTTCTATGAGAAAAGTGACTACAAGGACATAAAAGGTGAAGTTGGTATAGACAGATACATTTTGAGGCAGAGTCCTTGCAAGAATTTTGAATGCACACAGCGTAATGAATAGCCAAAAGAAACTCAAAAACCTGACGAATAAACCCAGCTTGGTGTAAATTATTGGTGCCTTGGTGTAGAGCACGTGAATCCAAGCTCCATCTCTGTTACTTTAAAGGCCTCTTGTAATGAGCAACCGTCAATCGAGAGCTTGGGCTAAGATATATAGTCGGGACGATAGATCCAGTTTTCCAAGTGCGGTTTTAAGCAATGGAAGTGATAATAAGCCCTGACTAGCAACTTGAGTCCGCCAATTTCCTCCGGCAAGTCTCCCAAGAAATGAGGAATCATTCTCTTTTGTGAGATTTCATTCTCGGCGATGCCGATGTTCTAGCCAAGAGCGAATTTGAGAGCCCATACTCCTTCCCCGTACTTGACTATGCCGGCTACAAACATTGTGAAGTACAAGATTACAAAGCTGGAGTAATTCCAGCATCTGATAAGCACTCCACTGACAACAGCCACTTCAATGACCATATTCAGGACCTGTCTCCAACCCAATCGGTTGTCCTCCATCGAGTAGGCCGTGATATTGTCCGGATACCTGAGCTGTAGCAGAAGTAACGGGGCCAAGAATGCCTTGAGTTCGATATTTGGATCGGGTCAAGCCGGATTGCTGACTCGTAGTCCCGTGAGCTTGCCAAGAGAGTAAGGTACAACTTCTGTGGCGAACAAGTATGTGACCCAGAAAATCATCCTCATCAATATGCCCCAGCGTCCGGTTACATACCTTCGGCGGTTCCCAAAGAGGAGGATCGCTTGGAAGGAAATGCTGACGATCACGAGCATTTGGATCCCCCATGCATCCCATAAGTTCATCATATCCTCCCTCGCCACTAATACCGTCTTTGGAATCCAATTGAAATAAGCCATTTTGTCCTCAGATTGTCCTAGAAATGAGGAAACAGAGCAGTTCTTTCTCGAGATCTATTTACCAAATTAAGATCATCACTACTTTGTACTGCCAGAGTCAAATCGGTATCATTAGGAGTTTTTCTTAGCAATCAGCAAATTCTCTTAGATGACTGCAATCACTTTGAGCTCACTAGGCAAAAACTTCATCTAACATGACAATTTTGCTGACTTTTCTTACAGCAATTAGCAAATTATTGTAGTCGGTCAATATGAGTTAAATACCAATAGGCATGCTGCCCTGCTAGTAAAAAAATTGGGGGAGTGAGGACGCTAGTATCATAGGTGCGGGATTTGACTCCTGCGCTCTGCAAGAGGGAGAACAAAAGTCAAAGAGAAGAGAGTCAGAGATAGGACAGACAAAAAAAAAATGATTCGATTTTGGATCAAGCCCATTTTCGATCCACTCAAAACCGACCCGGACAACCGGATACTAGAACACATCTCATGTTATTTCTCCCAGTGTTAGAAATTTGATTTAATTTAGTAGAAGAGATCATGCATGGGAAGATATATATGACATATACTTCTACTCCCATAAGCACTAAAAGATCCAAAACGTATTCAAAGATTTGAAAATACTTAGATCCATCAAGATTTGTAACATTAAGAGGGACAATAAGGAAATGTACCAAACTCTATGTCAATTGTACATATAAAAAATACAGGAGATGCTACTACCATTTGTGTGCAAATATGGTTAATCAATTTTTCCCCATAATTCAAGCGTAGGTTTTAGCATTCTCACATTTATAAATCTGACTTCTTTTTTGTGGTTAATTACTGCTTGACTGAAATCTTTCATCTATATCATAAATTTACTCATGACAAGGAAAAGAAGTAAATACAAATAACCAAAAAAGAAGTGGTCTCAAAGTATATTGAGTAAATACCATGAAAAACCCCAAACTGGTACACCTGTGATAACTTTACCCCGAATTAATTTTTTGACCACAAAAAATCCCAAATTGGTGCACTTGTGATAAATTTACCCAAAACTAATTTTTTGACCACTAAAAACCCCAAACCAGTATACTAGTGACAAATTTACCCTCCGTTAAATTAAATTGATACTACGAAAAATCACAAATAAGTAAAATTGTGTTAAAACCCCAAACTGGTACATCTGTCAACTACCACATGTTATCCAACTCAGCAATTTGACTGTAAAATTTAACGGAAACTAACGAAGGGTAAATTTGTCATAGGTGTACCAGTTTGGAGTTTTAGATAGTCAAAAAATTAGTTTTGGGTAAATTTGTCACAAGACTAGTTTTGGGTTTTTTGTGGTATTAACCCAAGTATATTTGCTAATCTTCTTTGTATTTAAATGGACCGAAACCCATCAAGACCAATTGGATTAGACTTTAACATTCTAAAACCCACTTTCACCCGACCATTAAATATTTTAAACAACCCAAACACAATGCAATTATAAAAATACGAGTAAAAAAATGGGTGCATGACCCGTGTTGATATCTCTAGTTCAGCTGAGTTTGAGTCTTATGTCCGGCGAGCCATTTGAAAGACAGATAAAAAAAGAGTACCGAGCAAGAATCACAACTCTAAGATAATCAAGGAAAATAACCATCAAGGTAAATCAATCAACAAGAAGGGGAAAATGATCAGAGGTGAAACCTGAGAAGATCAACTGGGTTGGCCTGACTTTAATGATTTATGTACATAACTTCAATAAATCCTCGTCCCAATGCTCAAGACTCCGAAAATGTATAGAGGAACTTGTAAGATCAAATGTCTTTCAAAGTTCACAACGACATTGTTGCTATTTTATAGAGAGTAAAAGATAAGACTATAGCCAGGAAGCAAGGAACTCTTTATGTGTCAAAAGAACTATATTTATCTATCTGCTTTTGAAATTGTTCCATCTGCTTTTTGACAACGTTCCTTAATTCATTTCGATTAAGAAACTTTGGCATGTTTTCTCTCATTTAGCCTGCAATTCAGACTGGTTGTCGTTCCTCGTGATTCCTGAAAAGGCAAACACTGTTCGCTTCAGACCATTTTTCGTGAGCACTCGCAACGTCCGGATGAGGCAAAGTGATGGAATGATACTTGACTTGATTTTGTAGTTTGGTATAAACTTTGTTTAATGGTATTTGGAATTAGGGATGCTAATCTATGACGCAACACAATGACATCACTCGACCAATTCGATGCTGATTCAACGTTCTATCAGATTTTGAATGAAATGTGATAAAAGCACTTTACTTGTTGCGGAATTATAGCACATTGTGTTGTCCGTCTTGTGAGCTGAAAGCAACCAAACAGGGGGGATCAGCTCTACGCCTCACCGGACCTGCCTGGCG